TGGGTGCAGACAAGGGACATACTTTTAAGAATTTAGTACTGGCCCACCCCACCTTGATCCTTACCCTTCTCCAATTTCAGTGACAGTGTTTTGTTTTTTAAATAGTAGGACATTGATTTGAGTGCTTAAAATCCATGAGCCTGAGTTAGAAAACTTCAGTCCTAATGGCACAGCAAGTTTCCAATATGTGTCAACAACTAATTTCCCTTTGTGCTGTAAGAGCCAGCACTCTTAGCTAAATAAAGGAGCTAAGGATTGAATGTTTGTAATGAATAGTAGGCCTGTGTGAGTAGGCAGCTATTTGATCCGGCTTCGGATCTGGCCACTTCGGATGCCAGCAATTCGATTCAGAGCTCCAGACTGGGTTCCCGCTTCAATCTGGCCGAAGCTTCGGAGCCACCTTGGAGATCCGGCCATAGGGTATAATGGGGAATCAATGAACTATCTATAACTGTTTTTTGTTTGATTTGGATTAAACCTGCAGGGGTGGTAGCGTCTGCTGAGAGCACGAAACCTGCCAAGTTTCAATAACGTCAGTGCAGGGGTTCAGGGGGAACTGCACCCCAAATTCTTGAAAGCAAAACTCATGTCGTATATGTGTTACACCACAGGGGGGTGAAAACTGCAGGGGTGGTAGCCCTGGTGAGGCCACAAAGCCTGCCAAGTTTCAAGAAGATAGGTGCAGGGGTTTGGGGGGGAACTGCACCTCTAGCTGCTGACAAGCAAAACTTGTGACATGAGTGCTTGTGCAACTCTGTGTCTTGGGGCATGAAAGTGTGGGGGGAAGGGGAGACACTACTGTTGGCCTGGCTGCTAAGCTACTGTGTTACCAGTTACGAATCAATCATGATCACTCAGGGACCAGCTCAATACAAAGTACCTAGCTAAGGTAGCCAGTTAATTAGCAACGATTAATACCTACAAAACCACAGACTAAGGAAAGGAAATAATCAATACAGATGATCAATTGCCCCAAGACGGACACAGTCCCACAAGCAACCTATGTCACAAGTTTTGCCTGTCAGCAGCTAGAGGTGCAGGACCCCAGAACCCTCCCCTGCACCTATCTTTGACAGCTGGCAGGCTTTGTGGCCACAGCAGGGGCTATCATCCCTGTAGCTTTCACCCTGCTGTGCCTTAACACACACAGTGTCACCCATGTCACAAGTTTTGCCTGTCAGAAGCTTGAGGTGCAGTTCCGCCCAAACCCCTGCTTTCTATGGAGTCTCCTTAATATTACAGACAGTTGTGAATCCTGCCCAAAGCAGCAGTCAAGGTGAGCCAAGTTGTAGTATCAAGCAGAACCTGTGTCCTGACTTACTTCCCTGGAACACATCTAGCTCACCATGGGGCAGAGTCAGAGGCAGGTCACTAGCCCCTGGGCAGCTGGCAGAGGACTGCCCTGCCAACACCCTGGGCTTGAGACCTGCCTCCACACTTCACACCTCAGGACCAAGTGCAGCCAAACCCCTGGCTCCCTGCTTTCTTTTTTCTTAAAACCAAGGGGCCGCACCTTTAAACTTAAGGGTTTCAGCTTTGTGTAGCCTAGTGATTGCCTGCAAGTCTGGGTGGGAGAAGAGGCGAGTTCAAGTCTCGCTTCCACCCAGGAATGGCCTTCTCGGGTTTCAAATGCATGGGTGTTTCTTGGTGGCCAGAAAGACAGGTTGGAGGAGCATCAGTGACCTTGGCCCAACTCATGCCTCAGACCAGTACACCTTCCTGCTTGTCCATAGAGAAACCAACGGTACAGCTAGGCAAGAGACCATGGTAATGCAGGGCTTACAGCATCACCGGGTCCTGCCCACTAAGCTATGGAGACCCCCAGGGGAGGGCAGGAGGGATAGTTTCATAGTTGGTAGGGTCGAAAGGGATCTGAGCAGAATATTAAGTCCGACCCCCTGCCATGGACAGGAAAGGACAGCTAGGTGATTATCTAGCCTCCTTTTAAAGACCCCCAGGGTAAGAGCAAGCACCACTTCCCTTGGAAGTTGGTTCCAGATCCTAGCCATCCTGACAGTGAAGTAGCACCTCCTAATGTTTAGTCTGAATCTACTCTTCAGTCAACTTATAGCCGTTATTCCTTGTTACTCCCAGTAGTGCTCGGGGAACAGGGACTCTCCCATTGCCTGATGGTCACCCTTGGCAAGTTTATAGATGACCACCAGATCCCCCCTCAGCCTTCT